CAATAGAAGAAGGCGAGATGTTTACTGGTAGGTCAGGAGGTATTTGGACAATAGAAGTAGGCGAGATGTTTACTGGTAGGTCAGGAGGTATTTGGACAATAGAAGAAGGCGGGATGTTTACTGGTAGGTCAGGAAGTATTTGGACTATAGAAGTAGGCGTGATGTTTACTGGTAGGTCAGGAGGTATTTGGACAATAGAAGAAGGCTGGATGTTTACTGGTTGATCTTTGTGGTTGCAGTATGACGAGATTAGAATTTTTCAACACATACAGAGTTTTTAAATTTCACGTTTTATTATAAATAATCCACTTCACGGTCTTTGTTGTGAATGTCATGTGCAGCAGTTTGAGCACAGTCTAAATGAAACAATCTTTTTTCAACAAAATGTCATTAATCTACGATGTATCAAACCAATGTATTGTTACGACAGCGGAAGTCATGTGACGCTAGTAACACATCATGAGCTTCTAGAAAATTCATGTCCGTTCCTGAAGCCTCGAGTGTTTACTAGATGTGCGGTATTCTTGTATATAAAACCAGTAAGAAGTGACGGCAATAATGGAATTGAATTATAGACAGAAATAGAGACGGACAACCGAGTCAAGCGCGTGAATCGTTCGTTGTGAATTATAGCGTTTGTTTAAGTTATAGCGTGACTGTGGAAATTAAGTGAATTTCAAAGTTGTATTGAGAAAGAATAAACTAGTTTTATTTAAGAAAGGACTTGTATCATGTGAGTGTCAACAACACCAATGCCTCTGGATATTTCTCTAAAAAGTCATCAGGAGCTTTTAGGTAGGACTATCTTTTTTTTGTTGTTGTTCTAATCCTTTATTGTGCTCTTTTATATTTTTTTAATAATTATACATGACTAATTGTGAAGATGCATCTTAGTTGATTTTTCTCAGCATTAAAGTTTCATTGCAACATGATACAAAAACTGTATTAAAGTTCAACTTGCACAACTGATTTCTTAAGCCTACATAAGAATACAACTGTCACTTAAAAACCAAGTTCAGTGTTCCCTCTAGGCTGCGTGGCTGCACAACATCCAGTCAAGAGCTGCACACTTAATTATTCCAGTGATGAGGAGTCTCAACACATTGATGGCCTAAAGCTCAAAGCAGCCTGACGATCCAATAGATGATCTAAAAAACACCCGTGTCCCTGAAAAAAACTGGTAGCAAACATCTGCACATTGTCTTGAAACTGGTGCACATGAAAAAATTCATTCTGCACATTGATTGAAAACAATTAAAGGAAACATTGATTATATTACAGTAAGAGACAAGTCATAACAATATGTATTGTTCTGCTGGATAAAATGTTGTTGAATACTCTGACAAAGAGATAGAAATATTGTTTCCTTACAAATTTTCAAACAGACTACTTCTTTCTTATAACAAAACTACACAGAATCGTTAATGATACAAAACTACACCCAGAAATCGGTCACGACTGTGGCTGGGTTTTGTAATCTTAAGTACAGCTGTGCTTTCCTCAAAATTTTTCTAAATATATATAGCAGATAGATAGCCTTATTAATAAATACATTTTTCCTCCACACACACACAATAAATTCCAACCAGTTGTTTTTTTGCTATATGTATTTCAAGCAAAAGTACCCGTCCCCAGTGACAGGAAAAGATTAAGTCAATCTATTAATTAAATTATTTCATGGACTTTAAGAAAGGATAATTATGTTGCACTCTCTGTTTCACTCAGAGTCAAAGCTCTGAGCTACTTATACCACCAACCGTGAAAAGTAATTGCTGAGTTTCAGTCATGCTAAGAGCTGCTCAACAATAACATACGATAAATCTACATTTTAATTCTTTAAGCTACATCACATTTTGAATTCCTAACTATTTAGTGTAGAATATCCTGCTTGTGAAACAAATTTTGATGACATTAACATTATTCATGCCTGTTCTCCCATCATTTCAAAAATGAATGCTGAGCTTCGCTTGCGTGTGCAGCTTTTCAAACGGGAGACAGACGAACGCTCGGACAGACACTACGATTCACAATATATATATAAGATAGCTAAATATATGGTATTTTACCAATTATTTTCAGTAACGTTAGGTTCAACAATATTATTATGACATGTCGTGCACCATTGTTTAATATAAACCTGTACACTTATTTAAGAATAAGTTCAGCTTAGTTTAAACACAGAAGTCATGTTGGGCTGATGAATGTGAAACAGAAGAAAATTAAAGTTAGTCGTGTATAATAATTTAAATATATCAAAACATTCTCCAGGATTCTCTATGAATACTCAACTAATATCGTTTTTGTTTTTATAAGTAGTTATTTTATTTCTTGTTGGAATGACAAATCTGGTTTTAGCCCATTCATTATGGCCGAGACGTATATATCTCCCAGTGCACTGAGAAATAAACGTCTGAGCTGCAGTGAAAGGATTAAAGATATATCTGCAACATGAAAACATTTTGACTTTTACTAGTTTTATAAACGCCTGACTTTTCAGGAATGTGAGTCTGTTAATGGTATGTTAATTTTGGTGTTGCATGAACTTGTATACTGCAGTAGCAATTGTTTAGACAACATTATTAACTGACAAGCTAATTTTCTGTTGAGTTCTGCACATAATGTACGTAAATATATGTGACACAACATTATTAACTGACAAGCTAATTTTCTGTTGAGTTCTGCACATAATGTACGTAAATATATGTGACAACATTATTAATTGACAAGCTAATTTTCTGTTGAGTTCTGCACATAATGTACGTAAATATATGTGACACAACATTATTGATTGACAAGCTAATTTTCTGTTGAGTTCTGCACATAATGTATGTAATCATATGTGACACAACATTATTAATTGACAAGCTAATTTTCTGTTGAGTTCTGCACATAATGTATGTAAATATATGTGACACAAATTACTTGATTTTTATAGTTTTGTTTTTTAATATACTTCAAAACCAGACTAATAGTTGGGAAGTCTGAGTGTTCAAATCTTTGAAAACTATAAAATGCTCTTGTTTTTTCAAGACTTCATCTTATTTCAATTTTTATGTAAGTGGTTTCCTAGATTGATTTTAGAGTTGTGTGTGTGTTTATAAACATAAAGTATTCCTACATTAAAGCCTAAAATCTCGGTTTTTTAGGTCAGGGTTCAGCATTATGGAGCTACTGGACGTTCCATGTGGGGTATATAATATCATACCTTGCACTTTTCATCCTGGACAGAAGGGACCTTTTTTTCTGACTGTTCAGGCTTCCTGCCAGATTAAGATATCTCGTTTGAGGTAACCCTTACTCAAGACATTACCCAAACTTGTACAGATCTTCTGCTTTAGTTACCAGGAATACTGAGTTTTAAATTTGTTACCATGATATAATGAGTGTTTTACACAAATCAACATAGTACATTATTACACCATTTAGATGACTCTGAACTGGTGCTGATTCTGAACTCCTTCGCAGTTAATTCAGACTTGGAGAGAGGCTTTATGGATGAATATAATGTAGCATTGATATCCCATATGGACATGTAATGTGGCATGATATCACAGACAGGTATATAATGTGGACAACATCCTAATTTAGTGTGTATACTGGGAAGATACCCCATTTGGGAGTATAACATGGTGTTCACTAGGGGGTGAAATTCTTGCTGGTTATATAGCATATTATGACACACAAGTTGTGTGTCAAATTGTGTGTCATATAACATGAAATAGCACATCTGTTAATTACATAATTAGATTTAATAAAACCTTTTCCGTAGAGTTATAAAATCGTTGATAAAAGTTTCCAAAATACAGTTCTTGGTACATGTGTTGTTCAAACTGTATGAATGATAACAGAAATATTATCACAGTTTTTACATAAGTAACAAAACTCTTAAAACAATTCTGTGTATGTCATAAAATATCACGATAAGAGAATTTATTCAGTTGTTATTATTTATAGTAGAAACAAAAGTGTATATATTTAATAACTCCTCACAAAATTATAAAAGGAATTGTTATGTATTAAGGCTTAACACTTCAGCTTTAAGATAATCTGATTATTCTTCTACCATCATCAAATCATGAATTGTGGCAAAATAACAAACATGAAGACCAGCCTGTCATTCAATTTACCAGTTTAAACTTGAATAATTAGAAAGGTTTTGGGGAACTCCATTCCTCATCAGTAACCCTCGGGGCATGTTGAAAACAAAAAGAAGACTGGATGGAAAACTCGGACATTTTCGCATGTGATTTCCGCCTTAGACACAAATCATTCATTAAACTTGGAAAGATGAAAATACATTTGAGAGTCACGTAGTTGTAATTTTCTTTAAACATTGTTCATTTCCACACCTAGCTTTGTGTAGTATATCTTGTTGCCATGGTAACTGAACTACTGAATGTAGTAGTTGATAAAGCCTATAATTTACCCTACTATTATGTTTTGGGTCCATTTAACCCGACAGGGTTTTCCATAACGTTATATCTTTGAGGTTAATTTCTAATATCTAACACAAAAGAGTAAAAGCTATGAAAAAGAAAATTCTTTTTTACTTCAGGACTGTTTCCTTTTGTTTGAAGTTTCATCCGGACCAAAACATAAGAGGATTGGAAAAGATATGTACACACACATGTATACATTACTGTGATTGTTATTGATGAAACCTAGTCGAATTGACGGCAACTGCCTGTTGTAGAAACACAAGTAGACGAAAGGCGGAAGACACTCGAAATGTCGTCCTCTACACTTGTGTTTCTACAACAGGCAGTTGTCGTCCATTCAATTAGGCTTCATCGTGAATACTCGGCCTAAACAATGTGTCGGAGAATGATTGTTTTTATTAATAGTTTGAAATGTTGCACTGTATCGATATTGATGGTAAGATAATACTGGTGGTCGGCTACATCCTGGTGGTAACATAGTGTAAATAATTAACAATTAATAATAAAATGTTTTAAAAATATTATTATGTTGATATCAAGTTTTAAAGGCTATTATGCTATATTGGTGTGAAAATAATTCTGTTGGTAGGTTACATCCTGGTGGTAGTAAAGTGTACAAAATTAATAGTGAATAATAAAATGTTTTAAAAAATATTATTATGTTGATATCAAGTTTTAAAGGCTATTATGCTATATTGGTGTGAAAATAATTCTGTTGGTAGGTTACATCCTGGTGGTAGTAAAGTGTACAAAATTAATAGTGAATAACAAAGTGTTTAGAAAACTATTAATATGTTGACATAGTTAAAAATGTAAAGCCTGTGAGTTTAAATATCAACTATTGTATGTGAGAGAGGCAGAAATAAAGAAAAATGAAACGGTTTTCTGATTAAAAGAACAGTAGAAGTGTCAGTGGGTTAAAACAGTGAATTTGTACATAATTGTCTTTCTGGATTTTTATTTACTGAGTGATTTTGGATTTTCTCTTAACAAATAAATTAGTTGTACTGTAAAAGGTACATTAATGTTATAAGACACAACTTAAAAGAAAGTATAGGAGACAGTTGTTAACAGTGGAGTAATTATGTCAGATGTTCAACTGTCAAGTTAACAGTTAAGTAATTAAGACTGGTAGTGTCAGATATAAAAAGGACTGGGTTTAAATTTTTTTTATTTTATTTCTTTTAATCGTTTTCATTTAGTTTTGAGGATGGAACAGCCGAGATGGACCAATAGGTCCCATGTTGTCCCAGATATTTTGTTATGTTATCCAACTCCATAGACTTAAATTTTAAGCCATAGGAGAGCAATTGTCCCATGTGGAGAGTCATTATTAATAATAAAAAAACGACCCCTTAGATAAACTGGAAATGTGTTACTAGTACGTGCACAATTATTGTTTTTTAAAACTAAGTTGAGATGTATATTTTATATAACTAGTAGTTGGGGCAGCGGTAAGTTACAGACTTACAACGCTAAAATCCGGGATTCTATTCCTCCCGCCGTGGACACAGTAGATGTCCCAACGTGGCTTTGTTCTAAAAAAAAAAAAACCTCCCCGGAAAAATTTCTAGCTATGCCAGTGTTCTTGATATCAATACTAGATATAGCCTACCGTGAATAAACAGATTTCACGCTCAAAACAAATAATACTGAGTATTTCCATCTCCTTGTGTTAACACTAGTGCCCTCGTTGAAACTGTGATCCATTGTACTGCTTGCAACTCTAAACTTTTGTGCACTGTTATTTAGCTGGATTATTTTATGATAGTCAAATTCTTATACAAACGGCTTTTTTTATTATTCAATTAGCTTTTTGAGTGCTTAATAAAACTTGAAATTACCAAATATACCAAGATTATATCTATTTAAATATATGTGTATTTTAGTAATCGTGTGTTTATATTAACGTATATAAATTAAGACTTCGTATCTTACGTCAGTACAGGACGTGTTTGTCATCCTAACAGTGTTTCTGTATGTAAGACGACCGTGCGCCATGATTATTGCTTCCATTTCAATTCAAACTTCTTTCGATTGGATATAGTTTATTTACTAAAATCCCCCAACCCACCCCGGTAGGTCAGTGGTATATTTACGGACCTATACCGCTAATGTCTGGGGTTCGATTTCCCATCGTGAATAGAGCGCATTCTGTAGATAAACTCGTGAGCTCTAGTAAATCTCAAAATGTGGGGCCATACTTTGGTCTTCCAAATGTTCTGCGGAGAAGTATATATATATAGAGGAAAGAATATAATTGTCAGTCAAACTCGTCCTTTCAAAGTTAACGACAAAAACCCTCGCAGGCTTTAAATATATTGTATTATTCTTATAATCCAACGAACGAAAGTTAGAGCTTATTCAAAATAAAATGATATTAATATAATGCCTTCTTTTGTGGGGTGTGTGTAACGGTTCTTTCATCCTTTTTATTGACTCTACGTTTTTTTTAACTTCTTATTTAATTTGCTTTCCCATTATTTTTCATGCTTTTCACATTCACTTTTCTATATAATTCTATTCACTATTTTGATTTGAATAATCTATACAAATAATACGCTTATTAGTGTGTGTTACGGAAATGACGTTTTTGCGCATGCGTATTTAGATATAAGGTGCGCGCGCATTATTACGACAGACAAAAACTGAGTATTATTATAATATACCCGCAAGAAATTTGCAACGGTAGTTCTTTAAATACAGGATTTCTAGAATAATACAAAACAGTTATAATCGTAAATGCCAAAATCTTGTCATACTATAATTCTGCTGTCGGTACGCCTTATAACATGCGCAGTAAGAAGTTTACCCAGAAAAACAGTGCAAGCGCTTTTCTGCACCACAGAGCTGGAAGGCTAAACAAACAAGTCACTACAACTGTTCTACGCATGTAGAAATAAGAAAAAAGGTGGATGTTAATATTCTTCATTAACAATTTCGTACAATAACATTATAAGGTCTGACGTTAGGTCCTAGAATAACGTTATAAGTTTATTTATAGATAGTATTAAGTACAATATAGTTTAGTCCTAACTAATGTAATGTAGAAAACGTACATGATAGTGTTATCTCTTTATTGACCTTGGGCCTAACATTAGTTAAGGATTTATAAAGTACGACCTAAATACAAGCGCACTTGCATTTCGTTTATATTTTTCTACAAATATTGTATTTAATAAAATACTGTTGCAATAAAGATACAAATTTGACAGCAAACGTTTTGCGGGTCTCTGATAGTAGGTTATAACTATTTAGTAATTTAATAATGCAGTAGAGTTTTCACTATTTTGTTATATTATTTACAACATTAACATGGTCTGAATCATTTTCTTAATATTTAAATTCTTTGTTTAACGTTTTCAACCAATCACTTCACTGACCTATTTTCTTATTTCATCCTGATATAAGTCTCCTTAAGTTTACAGACTTAACAACACTAAAATCCGACGAACAGAACTAAATACATACCATTACTTTGAAATATGTGCATTGTTTTTAGGCTATATTTCACTTAAGGTATTACATGTATCCGTGAAGTTAACGCACAACAGCGCCCTCCTTCGTATAATTATGCAAACTATGTAATTTTATATATATATACAGTCCTCAGGCGGCAACAGATTAGCTGTCCAATCATTGGAGAAAGTTAATTGGTAATAACTAAAAAAAACATTTAGTAATTAGCTAATACGAGATCGTACAGACTACTTACCATAATGACCGATATTCGATCGTCACAATCTTAATATCTAATACCATAGTTTGTTAAATACGGCGTTTAGAGGATTTTTTTTTTTATGTGGAGGGTGGGCAGAAAAAATTAACACTTTTATGTCGGTAGGAGTCACAATGTAGATAATCTAAACATCTTCCAAGACTACATCTCAGATGGGGAGGGGCCGAGCTCTTCAATGGAGGGTCCTTCTTGCCATTCTAGTGGACACGCCCCTGTCCACAACGTCTTACGTCGTTATTGCTAAAGGTATTCCGCTAACTAAATAAATCAATAACATTTATTAATTTCATGAATAGGACTTATTCTGAATAAATAAGGCTTATGTACGTTTTAGGTATTATGAAATTAATGTTTGTTTGACTGTTGTTAAACATAAAACTAAACAATGGGCTATCTGTGCTTTTCCCGCCAGGGATATTGAAACCAGATTTTTAGCGTCGTAACCCTGTAAACTTACCACTGAGCCAATCGGAGGCATAAAAGTAGTGACTAGAAAATTCGAAAGTAATTTTTACTTTCAGTATTGAATATCTGAAGATACTTTGTTACCGAGAGTGGTTATATTTTCATGGTTCACGACTGTTGCCTGGGGGTGCCTTATAATAGTGATGGACAAACCCCTCTATTCAATTAGAGTTGACAGTGGCTGCTTCTGACAAGTTGTCTTCGCTCTAGTCCATTACTTTAAAATTAGGGACAGCTGTTCCCTGATAGCCGTTGTCTTCCCTCTAATCCATCACTTTAAAATTAGGAACAACTGTTCTCTGGTAGCCGTTTGTGTAACTTCGAAGGACATTTTGGAACAAACACAAACAAACGAAATAATTGGGCTCTCCTTTTTTATGTCAATAATTGGCACATAAGTAACATACACGATCTTGTTTTAGTAGCAGTAAAGTATCTAAAAAGATTTTCTCAAATTGATAATAATTTATTTCTAGCCTGCGATGTTAACTGAAAAGTATTCTTATCTTCTATTAGTGGAGTACAGATTTTGAAACTTTTGCGAATATAGGTTGAAACACTTAAACATTACCGACGTATTTAGGATTTCATACATTAAACGAATCACAAATATTTAACCAACAATACCAATTACTAAAACTTATACGTAAAATTTCCAAACGGTGATGGGCTGCCTTGTAACAATGGGCACTCCTCGTTCTCGGCCCCCAAATACGTACATGCAAAGTTCCCAATTATTTTGTTCAACTTTTGACCTTCCCGGACTTCCGGTTATTGACCACTTTTTGTGAGGTGATTTTTGTTGTCTTTCCCTCTTTCTGACCTCGCGAGGTGAGGTCTTAGACTTCTGCTGTCCAATCTCGCTTAGCATTGTGGTTTTGGAGTAGAGTGGATACCCTACAACATCTTTACGTTGGGAAGCTCTATCCCAAGAGTGAGATCGACTTTTACCAGAAGCTATCAAGTTTCGGTTGAAAGTTTGATCAGACAAAGGATTTTCGATCAAATTGAGCATTTTAAGTTCAAAAGGAAACTCGTGGCTCCGAAATGACCGTTTTTTGGGACCGGTAGAGTTTAGACACCCGGCAAACTCTCGATGGTCTCGATAAATTTCCTTTCCAACTGCCTCTTCTTCTGTAATAGAGTGGTAGCCAGAACTATGGGACGCAGAATGAGGAAAACTTTGACTTTCAACGTTCGGAGTACACAGCTGAGATGGCAGGTCCGACAACGTCGCGCACGACGTATAACCGCTGGATTTTGGCCTGTCCGACTCCAACTGGTCAGGATTTTCAAAGTCAATTAGAAGACCACCGGCAGGATCTAATCTGCCCCGTTTCTGGTCAACGTCACTGATAAGACTAGCGTCGCTATTTTCCTCTTCCACATCTCGAACTGTAGAAAGTGGTCCCCCGTAGATAAGCCGTGAAGTGCGTGTTGATGTATTTTGACTACCTTGGTCTCCCTGAGTAAACTTAGCGAAAAATAAATTTTGTGGAGAGCTTGCCTCTTGGGTAGAGATGCTGGAATCCCCACTTGTCATCTTTTCATTACTTGTCCAACAGAACTGATACACACTTTGTGAGGCTTTTAACCGTCTTACAGATCGGTAATCTGGACTGCTACCCACTACCTCATCAGAAACCGCGCTCTGATCAGGGAAAGTCTGAGCTACTGATCGGGGTTCGAGCTTGTGTTGGGGAGTGGACGACTCACTATCAGACTCGAGGACGGCATCCGAGCTATGGGATTTCTGGATGGACTGGCGAGCTAGAGGCCTCTGCTGTGGAGGCGGCGTTTCTTCTACTAAGCGTTCTAATTCGTCACGAACATTGTCCCCCTGGTGGTGTAGAATGTTATAATTTCCGCTAGATATACTTCTTATAAGACGGCTGGTCTGAAACTTCTCCCTCAAAGACCTAAAGATATTAACAAAAAGATATTAGAGATACAGAAAGAAAATGCTTGGAAGACGAAGAGAGAGAACGACTCCCATCTGAGCTGGATTTTTACAGTTTCATCCATGTTATCACTAGCTTTGCTATTACTAAAATATCTAACAACACGTGTAATATCTTTTGTATTAGTTTATTTCAACAAATATGTTTGTTTTTAATTTTGACGCTCATACTTCATGCTGTGTTGTAGCGTACAGAGTGCATAATACTTCTCGTGATTCATGACATGCGCACGTTTTATTGACGTCACGACAGTACAAATTGCAATGTGACGTCATTTTAGTGTTTACTGATTGATTGACAGGCAACACAATACTGTGCAGTGGTGCGTGTGGTTAGAATAGGCCCCCTTTCGGGGAAATAAAAACAACAGAATATTGCGAAGGTGATAAAGAAATTTGATTTTTGGAAATAAATCGTATTAAAATATTTAGTTTTTTTATTTATTTTCTTGCCGAGGTTCGAAATAAATGTTCTTTTTCAAATCAGAAACAGACTTGTTTGTTAATGACAAATATTTTGAAGTCCGTACAAAGCTTCTCGAGTGCTATCTGCACTAGCCGTTCCTAATTTAGGAGTGATTGACTAGAGGGTGGGCAGCTAATCAACATTTTCCACCGCCAACTCTTAGGCTGCTCTTTTATCAACAAATAGTGAGCCTAACCTTCACATTGTAACGCCCCCATGGCTGAAAGGGCGAACATGTTCGGTGACGGGGTTCCCAACTTTCGACCCACTCACTGATCGCGAGTCAAACGCCCTAACCACCAAGTCTCAACTCCTGCAGGATGCTCTAAAGTAATACAATACTCGAGATACAAACACGGGATTTAACCAATATAATAAAGCCAATATGACGTAGCTAAAGAATTAAAAAAAAAAGACAAGCTATTGCTTAAAATAGAAATATGGTTAAGAAAAGATATATACAGCATATATAAATACTGTTACGTCTCTGTTCGTTTGTTAAGTTTCCGTAAAAATTCTTTCCGAAGAAACTTTAGGTTACTACGTCAAACCCTACAGCATACTGCCTACATATAAAATAGATACATGTTCGTTCTGTTACTACGTCAAACCCTACAGCATACTGCCTGCATATAAAATAGATACATGTTCGTTCTGTTACTACGTCTAACCCTACAGCATACTGCCTGCATATAAAATAGATACATGTTCGTTCTGTTACTACGTCAAACCCTACAGCATACTGCCTACATATAAAATAGATACATGTTCGTTCTGTTACTACGTCAAACCCTACAGCATACTGCCTACATATAAAATAGATACACGTTCGTTCTGTTACTACGTCAAACCCTACAGCATACTGCCTACATATAAAAT